TCACACACGCAGTTGTTGCCACGCGTCTTCGCTCGATAGCGGTAAACACACACTCTTGCCTGTAGCTCGAGTCGTCACCCCTCAGGTGGAAAACATCTTCTCCTGCTTTGTCTCTACAGACAAAACATTCGCCGACTACACGGCGGAATCCCTACGCGCTCTTGCGCTAACTACCGTCTTCTTCTGCTTTCTCATCTCGGCTGCTCGATTAAATACCTACCGTGCGAGATTTCAGAAAATTTTCGCCATTTCGTCGGCGCGATACGCAGCGAAGGCTGGGGAGAGGGCGAGACGGTTCGAATGCCGTCCGCGACGGATGACTCAACCCGGCATCACCCCGCCCCTTTCCATCTAGAACACTCGAGTGCTTGCTCGGCCACCGTTGTGGGGTGAGGAGGTTCGTCAGCGAACCTACGCTTCCGCGAGGGGAGGGTTGCACGCCCGGGGAGTCCTTGGATGCTTGTTTTCTCTCTTTTTTTCCGTTGACCTCGCGGCGTCTCTCCCGCGCGTTATCGCAAGAATTTAATGGCGCGCCCCTTTTGAGCGCTTGTTTTGTGACACTGCCCCCACTTTAAGAATATTATCTCATAGTATTCAAAACCACATAAACGAGCGCGAACAGTCACCACACACTCTAACAGACTGTAACATAGTCCGTCGCTCATGGCACGTCACATTTACAATAGATCACTCAATACAATTTACATTGTAATTCAATTCCACAACACATGAAATATAGCCACAGGTACATGAATGCAACACTCCATCACATATTCCAAACAATACAAATGTACAAAGTTCTCTCATTACAACAATTGTACAATACTATACATCACATCACTGCAACAAACATTTTGATTCACTCGACATACAGTTGTGACACAGGACAACAACTCCAGAAAACTTAACATATTGCACTCAGCACGGTCAAACACATTTCGAGTCGACCTCAACACCTATCCTGTGCATTTCGAACGGCGCTTGTGCCCTTTCTTGCGGTGCTCGCTCGATCTCTTCTTGTGTTTCCACGTTCTTTTTCGGCGAGCCCTTCTCAATGACGGTATCTGAGGCGGCGTCTCAGCCATCGTTGTCACTTCCGACATTGTTAACGGGTCGTGACGCTCAACCGATCCTGCCCGGGTATTCACCCGCTTGTTCATGTCACGGACTTTGGCCTGGCTGGCCGACTCCGTCACCTTTACACTGCCCCTCGGTTGAGGTCGCGCCGACGTAAGTCCAGCTGCCCAGCATGTGAACTCATTCAATACGATAATGTTCTCATTCACTGTCTCTTGCACCGCGGCTTCACCTTGGGCTCGAGTGAGATCTGTCACGGGATGCTCCTCCACTGTATGTCGCGGTCGCTGGGTTGGTGAGGGCTCTATCTTAGGGTCTTCTCTCAAACATTCTGGCTCATTCGGCCCTCGCACCCCGTCGATGTTTCCGATAGCGAGGTGGTACAGGGGGTTTGTCATGCATAGAATGATAACCTTCCCGCTGAAGTACGGGGTTTCGACCTTAATTTCTGCTTCGGGAAGCATCCGAGCCATACGGTCAATTAGGCAAATCGGTTTTGTTCTGCCTGTAAACTCGCTTTCCCGTACCAAATTTCTCCGCATGATAACCGTGGAGCTACCGGTGTCTCTCAACACCGTAACCTTCTTGCCCGCAACTTTTCCAGGCAGCGTTGGCATTTCCTTCGTAACACCGTTTGTCTGTTTTGTCATTAGAGCAACCACAATAGAGATTTTCTCCCCATTTTTCAACTCTACGAATCCATCGGTGACGGCATTATTATCGGATTTCGGTGCCGCTTGCACACATGATACCTGGTCAGTTTGACTCGCTCCGTTTCGACATGCGTCTGCTTTGTGCCCAGTCTGACCACACTTGAAACAGTTTACGACCGTAGGGCTCGTAAAGTTAGTTCGACAGTTGCTAGCACGATGGCCCACTCGGTTACACAGAAAACATCGCCGAACACCCTCCGGTGCACACTTCTTTTGTTCGGGTGCCGATTTCTTCGAATCTTCAGAACATTCTTTCTTGACCTTGGCCAAATTAGTGCCACCTTGCGCTTCCAAGAATTGATAAGCTAATTCAAGCATGTCTTCAAGTGACTTAGCTTTCCTCTCTTTCAAGTACAGCGACAGGCTTGGGTGGCAACTAGTAAGAAATTGTTCTCTAATAAGGAGCTCTCTAAACTCATCGTACTCCTGCGCTGTCCCTGAAAGTTCAATCCATCAATCGAAATAATGGCAAAGTCGGGTGGCATACTGCGTAGCCGTCTCACCATCAGCTGGCTTTCCTGTACGAAATCTGTCCCGGAATCCTTCCACAGTAAATATAAATTACTTCAGCAAAGCAGTTCTCACCTTTGCATAGTTGGCTGCATCGGTCAACGTCAGCCTACCGTACACACTGAGCGCTTCACCACTGAAGCAAGTACTCAAAGCAGTTGCCCATTGATGTTCCGGCCAATTCTGGCTCCTCGCAATCGTCTCAAATCGGTGAAGGTACGTGTCAAGGTCGTCCTTCCTTTCATCAAACGCTACGAGCAGCTTGCTTGGGTTCAAGCGGATGCCGTGGTCCTCCCGTTCGCTGCTTTCAACTCTAGCTGGAACGGGAGTTTCACTTCGCTGTTGCAAACGGAGCCGCTCGAGTTCCATCTCGTGCTGCCGCTGCCGTTCCCTTTCCTCTCTTTCTTCTTTCAGCTGTCGCTCCTTTGCCTCTCTTTCTTCCTTCAGCTATCGCTCCTTTGCTTCTCTTTCTTCTTTCAGCTGTCGCTCCTTTGCTTCTCTTTCTTCTTTCGCTCTCTCAGCTGCCAACCTCTCTCTCTCCAACTCAGCTGCTTTTTCTTCCTTGGCTCTCTCAGCTGCCAACCTCTCTCGTTTCAAGTCAGCTGTTTTTTCTTCCTTGGCCCTTTCAGGTGCCAACCTCTCTAGTTCGAACTCAGCTGCTCTTTCCGCTTTGGCTCTTTCGACTGCCAACCTTTCTTTTTCCAGATCAGCTGCCTTTTTCTTCTTTGGCCCTCTCTTTTTCTTCTTTTTCCTTCTGCGTGACTTACTTCCGTAGTTCGACGCCAGAAAGACCCATCTTCTCACCAAGAGCAACTAACTTTTAGAGATCCATGGTGTCTCGCAGATAAAGTCTGGCCGTGTGCAAAAAGTATCTACCTAAATCAGCCTATCGGAACACTCTCCTGCACTCGTTAACGAGAACACTGAACAACACACAAAATCGTTCCGATAGCACTATCAACAACTCGAGGCTCTTTCTCACTACTTTAGACACACTGTGCACCAAAACCTCCTGTCGCAGATGCCACATTAATTGTCACACAGGTCCCGTTAATTCGGGAGGTGATCGCCGGGCTAATTCCAAGGGCCGAAGTATCGGCCCACCGAACCGCACCACGAAAGCGTAGACAATTTAGAAGTGGTCCTATTTGGCACGCCAGTGGACGCCGGTTGTGGCCCAAAGAACAACTCAGAGCCGAGAGTTGATAAACAAAACAAAAATTATATTCTCAATAATGGCAGATCAAAACAATACACAAGTATGCACACTTCGCAATAGCTGAGTACAATATGTCACCAATCAAACAACGTACTACACAGTACAATCAGCCACACTCGAAACAACGGACACAGACAACAATACGCACTACGATGCAGTCGCATGCATTTAACAACCAAGACACTTAAAGACTAAAGAAATAGGAAACCTATTTAGTCCAAAGTTCTTGGAACAAAAGTCTGGATGATAGTCTTCCGAGAACCACTCACTCAAAGTCCAGCGTTGTTGTCGTTCCGCTGCCCCTGAAGTTTCTCTTCCAGGAAACCTCGTGTCTTCACTTGGCCCCCGACTCAAAGTCCAGCCTTGTTGTCGTTGCGCTGCCCCCGAAGTTTCTCTTCCAGAAAACCTCGCGTCTTCACTTGGCTTCCAAAGTTTCTCTTCCAGGAAACCTCGCCGAAGTTCTCTTCCAGGAAACCCCGCGTCTTCAATTGGCCACTCTCCAAGCTTCAAACATCTTCGCCGGAAACACGTCGGCTTCACACACGCAGCTGTTGCCACGCTCTTCGCTCGATAGCGGTAAACACACTCTTGCCTGTAGCTCGAGTTGTCACCCCTCAGGTGGAAAACATCTTCTCCTGCTTTGTCTCTACGGACAAAACCGTCGCCGACTACACGGCGGAATCCCTACGCGCTCTGGCGCTAACTTCCGTCTTCTCCTGCTTTCCCATCTCAGCTGCTCGATTAAATACCTTGCGTGCGAGATTCCAGAAAGTTCTCGTCATTTCGTCGGCACGATACGCAGCGAAGGCTGCGGAGAGGGCGAGACGGTTCGAATGCCGTCCGCGACGGATGACTCAACCTGGCATCACCCCGCCCCTTTCCATCTAGAACATTCGAGTGCTTGCTCGGCCACCGTTGTGGGGTGAGGAGGTTCCTCGGCGAACCTACGCTTCCGAGAGGGGAGTGTCGCACGCCCAGGGAGTCCTTGGATGCTTGTTTTCTCTCTTTTTTTTTGTTGACCTCGCGGCGTCTCTCCCGCACGTTATCGCAAGAATTTAATGGCGCGCCCCTTTTGAGCGCTCGTTTTGTGACAATCGTCATGTTATTCACAGCTTGCAATGGCGACTTCTCGTGCCAGCTTGGGACGTTCCCCGATTTCTCGCATAGTAGCACACAGTTTTGTGCAGTTTCACCGAACATACGTTGGAACCAGCACAGCTGTCGCTGTTGTGCAGCAAGCCGCGGTGTGCTTTCACTTCGGCTTGACTGTAGTACCGCGACGGTGTCGGAGAGAAATTTCTTCACAAATCTAGAAAAAGACAGGAAATGACGGGGCTTCAGCGAGCACTGTGGTAACTGCTGGCGTCGGGACGGCCATGTGTCGGTCAGCCTGTTCGGCGACCTTGCTAACGTCCGTCTCTCCGGTGACCGTGACGCCTATTCGCACGTTTGGGCAGACTTGGTAGGAAGAGCTCTCTCACCAGGTGACTGTCGAGGTCGGTAGTGCTGCCCGCTAGTTGCTGCATCTGGCGCAACAGTAGGCCTTGTTGGCGGTCGCCCAGGCCAGTTTCGCATAGCAGCTGCTGATGGCACTCTGGCTCCGAAGGAGTGAGACGGCGAATCTTCTGCTGGTGAGGCAAGCAGAGTGACGCGCTCTTCACTCGCCGTGGCTGGTTGAATGTTAGCCACCACGAGGTAGTATTTGTTCAGCGGGGATGCGGCGCACGGTGAACTGAGATTCAACTTGGTAGAACCATGGTGCCGAGTCGTGGGTCCGAAAGGGAGGATGCTCCACGTCTGGTACAGCTGCTATTGAGCTGACGTCGTGGTGCTCCATGTGCGGGACTGCGCGTCACCATTTGTTGTTGGTAACTGTGAGTGACGCATTGACGAAGCGTGTTGCTAAGGGACTCGATACCTACTAGTTTTGTTGCTCGGTCTCCTCAGTGAACTAGGGACCACTGTTTCCTTTCCTCTCTCTTTCTCTCCGCACCTTAGTTTGTGGTGCAGAGAGAGCAAAAAGAATGTCGTACTGTGACTGTAGCCCATCGATGTATATTAGAGTACCGTCGCTTTTTTAACTGAGCTGCCGTGCTGCGTTCCCTCGTCTTCTGCTTCCCGGGCCGGCGGCCGAAAATGGTCACGGACATCGCGCGTATTATCAGCGTAGCATAGAATTCTTGACATGAAAGTGACGAGATCCAGGAGACTCGCCCTGTTAAGTGAGGATATCAAGGGGGAAGCGCTGGAGGGAAGGAGAGAGGAATTATCTGTGACTAAACCCTCTTCATCTAAGAAAGTAACGACAATCTCCTCCTCGTGTGCTGCACCCGGCGCCATTTTTTGCCGGGGCTCCCACGTACGCGCCACCGAATTCAACGGAGGCGCGTGATTTCAGGCCCCTGGAGTGACCCGGAAAGGTATTGAATTCGGGAAAATGACGATCACAAGGTAGATAATACTGAAATGAACGTTTATTAGAAGGTTTGTTTTTTCAGAAAACCCTGTGAATGTGGCATAACACTTAAAAGCAGCTTCATCAATAGTTATATGGTGCAGGTGTCTTTTTTTCTGATTCCAGATGATAACAAGCATTACGTTCGCATCATATATGATTTTGCTTGTGAAAACTAGTATAGACGTTAAAAGCAGCAACCACTCACTGCTATCAGCTCAACGTTCACGTCTTTGTCGAAAGGGCTTCTTGTGCTTCATAGCAGAGTGGTGGAAAAATGTTCGAAGCGCGTCGGGTTACAGATTTGTTTCCCAGAATTGTTTTGTTTTCCGAAATTGTTTCTCGAAAAAGACTATTTCTGAAGGAAGGCTTGTTAAAGAGCATGCGCATGTTGTGTACGTTGAAGGCAGCGTTGTCGCGCACGTTGCGCGGCCACTAATGCTCAAGATTGGCCGAATCGATCGGCGCGTTAATCACCTGCGCCTTTATGTCATACTGGACGCTGCCGTGAGTCGAAAGCCTAATGCTCATAAATGACAGACCTGGTGCAATCAGGCGTTTTTGCAACGGGGTTTAGAGCAGGTGGGTGAGGGTTTTTGGGAGGATATCGGTATCCGTGCGTAACACTCATCATAGCAACCTGTCACGTGTTGTCGTGCTTGCGAAGCAGCGAAAACGAGAGAAGGCGAGTGCGCGGGCCATCGAAAACTGACGATAAATAGACGGATGGATTGATATTGCTGTACCCTTTCGATCAGGTGGTGGCTCACGCCACCAAGCCGTAGTACTTGGAAAACCAAAAACTAGATTTATTTTTTTTCCTTTAAATAATGAGGTTGAGGACTCGTATTTTGCAGTGAAGGGTACTTTAGCCACAAATCAGATAACTTCCTTCTTGTTAATTCTACCATCTTAAATTCTACTTTTCCCTCCCTGTCCCTAAACCCTAGTACTTTGAAAAACTCTGCGCCATCATCCTGAACTATACGTTGAAGCTCTCTACAGAACATTATCAAGTGTTCGGCAGTTTTCTCTTCCTCTCCACACGCACTGCATACTGTGTCTACCCCTTCGTATTTGGCCCTATATGTCTTGGTTCGCAGTACTACTGTCATGGCCTCAAACAGTAGAGAACTACCCCGAGTATTATCATAGATCCTTTCCTTGGCAATTTCTTGCTTAAAATTTTGATGGATCTCTAGTGCGGACTTCTTATTCATTCCAATTCTCTACATGTCAGTCTCCGTTTCCTTCACTTTCTTCTTAACCGATAGTTCTTTTTGGTTTGGCCACCTGCTGTTTTCTAAGTATTTACCAGTCAACTTCCTGGTTCGCTTCCTCCATTTTGTATTGACATTCTTCATGTACAAGTAGCTGAAAACCTTCCTAGCCCAACGCTCTTCCCCATTTCTCTCAATCGCTTCTCAAATTTTATCTTGCTGCTAGCTTCCCTGCCCTCAAATGATGTCCTTCCCATAGCACCTTGTACTCCCTGATTTGGTGTATTCCCGTGAGCTCCTAGGACAAGCCTACCTATTCTACGTTGCTTAATTTTTAATTTTGCTTGAACTTCTGATCTCATGCACAAATCCGCATTTCCGAACGTCAGACAAGGAACCATAACCCCTTTCCATATTCTTTTCACAACATCATACCTATTGTAATTCCACAGTGCCCTGTTTTTCATCACCGCTGCACTCCTGTTACCTTTAGTCGTCACGTATATTTGATGTTGTCTTAGGTACTTGGCCTCATTGCTTATCTATACACCAAGATATATGTATTTAACTGTTATCTCTAGCGTGACCTCCTGTATTCTAAGCTCACTATCTTTATTATCATTGAAAATCTTGACTGCTGATTTTTTCTTACTGAATTTGAAATTTAACCTATCTCCCTCATTACCGCAGATGTCCATCAGTCTCTGCAAATCTTCCTTGTTGTCGGCCATCAGCACTATATCTGCTGCGTACATCAATGCTGGTATATATTGCCTGTACAATGAGTTTTCCTTGTTTGACGAAAGAGAGGTTGAAGCCCAGTCCACTTCCCTCTAATTTGGCATCTAATTCTTGTAGATACATAATGAATAACAAGGGTGACAGAGGACACACTTGCCTAAGCCCCCGTTTTACTTCTGCAGGCTTGTATACCTGTTTTTCCCACTTTATAACTGCCTTGTTACCTTTATAGATATCCTTTAAAGGATTAGTGACTCAATCTTCCACACCTAGTGTGTTCAGTATTCCCAACAAGTCCTTTTGAACCACGCTATCTTACGCTCCCTTGCTATCCAAAAATGTTAGCCATAGGGGTCTGTGGTCCTTTTCTGCTATTTCGATACACTGCGTCAGTGAGAACAGATTGTCTTCCAACCTCCTGTGTTTCCGAAACCCCTTGTGCAGTTCCCCGAACACCCCCTCTTCCTGTATTCATGCCTGCAGTCTTTTCTTTATAATCTGCATCGCCAGATTGTAGACCACTGATGACACTGTTATAGGATGGTAGCTGTTTATGTCAGCTTTTTCCCCCTTTTTTTTATAAACCATGATCATTCTGCTAAGTTTCCATTCATCGGGGACTTCACCATCGATTATTAATTTGCTCATTGCCTCTCTCGAAGCCTGCTTAGACTTCGGACCTAATGTCTTTATCCGCATTATTGGAATGCCATTTGGGCCTGTTGTTGTACTGCTAGGAACCCTCTTCACAGCCCTTTCTCATTCTCGTTGTGAAATTGGAGCCATTTCGCCACTTGATTCATTCTTGTCTATTGTGGTGAATAAAGCACTACTTTGTTGCAATTGTTCTGTCACCCTTCTTATATATTCAATAGCTTCGTCCCCTTTTAGCCTAGCACCTTGGGCTGTAGTTATAAACCTCTGCTCTAGGCTCATCCCCTTTCTTAGGGAGTTTATTACATGGTTCCGAAATTTCGCAGCTGCCTTTTTTATCTTTTTTATGTACTTCTGCCAGCCACTGAGCTCCCTTTCTTCTAATTTTTTCATTGATCGGAAGGGATGACTCTTCTACAGCTTAGAAAGATTTACATTCTTTTTGAACATCATCTGTCGGTTCACCCCGCTGCATAGCATGTCTGTGTACCTTGGAGGCTTTCTGACGTTTTGCTATGGCTCTCTTAACTTCCTAATCCCACCAACGTTTAGGTTTGTGTCTTCTTTTCCGGGGTGACTTGTCGCGTGCCCTAGCAAGCTCCAGCTCAAACAGTCTAATTAGATTCGTGTATGTCCACACTGTTTTATTATCCTCAGTGATTACTTTCTCAATTTGTTTAGTAGTTGTTTCTATTGGCCTTTCTGAATAAATATTTTCCTGTAGTTGCTCATCTTGTCTCCTTCCCACTTTTGTTGCTCTTCCAAAACTTAGCTTGATACGTTTGTGACCACTACTCAGACTTCTGGAACCACCTTCAGGCATGTGCTTTCCCCTGACCTTATCAGACATCCTATGTGACATCAGTGCATAATATATCGTCGACTGCAGCCCTCCTACCTCCCATGTTATTTGCCCTTCACACACTTCTCAGTACTGTTGCAAATGCGTCAAATCATGCCTTTCACACATATCCATGATCATTTTACCTGTTGGGTCGGTATACCAATCTATATCTTCTATGTGCGTATTCATATCTCCTTATATAGTTATCTCGCACTCTCCTCCTAACTCCTCAATATCCTTTGTTATACACTCAACTATTGCCTGGTTTTTCTCTCTTGTCTTTGCTCCCGTCCACAAGTGTACCAAACCAAGAAGTGTCCTTTGCCCCGCCACTTTCCCCTTTAGCCATATATGCTCAATGAACTCCTGCTTGACCCTTTGCCAGTCTGTTCTTTTATAAATGAATGCCCGAATACCACCCTCCTTTCTGCTGCCTTCTGTTCTATTACAATATACCCCCGCGTAGTACGGATTGTTAGGAGATTGTTACATGTCCCTAAGGTGTGTTTCTACCAAACCGTATACCATCGGCCTCGCCTTCCTTAGCTGTTCTTCTATCTCTTCCCACTTCTGCCTGTTACTGCCACCCTACATGTTGATATACCCTAGGTCTGAATTGGCTCGGTGCTCGTGACTACGTCTATTTCTGCCCCGGACTCTTCCTATCTTAGATACTGGTGCCACTTTAGAATCGTATCTGTCCATACCATTTGTCAAATAGTCTCCCTGGTTTTTTTTCTCGTTAGTAGCTATCCTGCACCCCGAAGGGCCCACGCGCCCACCAAAAAAGGTACTGCGCGTCCTGAAAGTCGCCAACCCACCTCATGACCTAGCCACCCATCGAAGTGAATTCTGTCTCGTTGAAAACCACCCCACCTATGCACCTCTCTGTTTATTTCCATCACCTCAAAGCCTTTCCCTCG